GCTTGGCCTGATGGCCTGAGAGCAAGTGATCCCCACTTTCTTTGCCACCCCAGGAGATGAGCTCTGTACTCCCACCCAGCCATGCCCTGCTGGTCTTCTCTCTCCTCCCTCTCTGCTCTAGATCCTCAGTCGAGCTGGTGGAATGAGGATGGTAGGGGTGACCCAGGGTCACCTACTAGCCACCCTCCTCAGCCTCCTTCCCCGGGGCCTTCTCATCTTCCTGGTTTCTAAGCCTTGGCATCCTGGGGCTCAGACCCTACACCTCTTCTCTGCACCACTGCCTTGGTCCATTCATCAGGTCTTGTGGCTTTAGACACCATCCACCTGCGGACAACTGGCACACTCCTGTCTTGGGGCAGGACTCGATCTGGGAGTCCCAGACTGCAGGGCATCTCCCCAGGGAGTCCCATAGGCTTCTCTGACTTAATGGAGCTGACACTGAGCTTCCCATTCTCCCCAATCCCAGCCTTGGACTCAAACCTTGACTCCTTCTTTCCCTGGGAAATCCACATGCAGCCTTTCAGGAAATCCAATGTGCAGTTCCTCAGGAATATTTTCTGGCTCTGACCCCTTCCCACCTCCTTCAACTGCTTCTATCTTGGTTCAGGACGCCACCTCTTGTCTAGATTATCGCCAGCAAGTTCCTAACTGTTCTGCCTGTTTCTGTCCTTGCTCTATTTCAGTCTCTTGTGAATGTGGCAATCAGAGGGTCCTGTAGGATGTGAGATGGCATCACTCCTGTGCTCAGACCTTCCCATGGCTTCCTGCAAAACCTAAGCCCTTTCTATGACCCACAGGGGCCCTGAACCTCTCTACACTGACTCTTCCTTGGCTCCCCCTTGCTCACTCTACTCTTGTCTTTCTGGCCTCAGTCCTATTCCTCAAATATTCCAGACCTGCTTCTGTCTCAGGGCCTTTGCACTTACTGTTCCCTCTTCCTGGAACATTCTCCTCTTGGCTTTCCACATGGCTCCCTCTGACCTCCTTCAGTCTTTGCTCAAACTTCACAAGGAGGATTTTTATTGTTTATTGACCTCTCCCCCGACCCTGGAACTTCCTATCCCTGTTTTCCTGATGGATTTTTCTCCATGTTACTCCTCACAGTTTAGCAGACTATATAATTAACTTGTTAATTTCATTTATCATAAATTGCAAATGCCACGAGGGCCGGTCTTTATTTTGTCTGCAGCCAAAAAGGACCCATGGCCCCTGGGGAGCTCAGATCTCTTCTGGCCTCTTGAGTACCAGGATGCTCAGCCCCACAGAGCCGAGAAGAAGACCTCAGAGGGTTTTTCGGGAATTATGGCTCTGCCAGGCAAGGCCCACAGTCCCATATGGTCAGGCCTTGGTTCATTCCACAAGTGTGCTGGCCCTGTGTCAGGCCCTGAACAGATCCTGACCCTCGGTTGAACAGAGTCCGGTAGATTGTGTCCCCGACCTGGGGAAGAGCAGGTGCTCCAGCCACCTTTCTGGAGCCCACCCTGCCTGCCCCGGTGCCCCTCTGAGTCTGAGGCAGGCTGGTGTCAATGGTCAAAGCCAGAGTGTCTCTCTTTGCTGAGCGCCTTTCCACTCCCTAGGTCGCCTGCCCCCATCCTGTTCCTCCTCATGGTCCTCTGCTGTCCTTTGGAAATCCAGCAAGGGCCTGTCCCTGGGCCCCCACCCCCATTGCCTGGCCACCCCACTCCTCTCAGCCCTGGCTCCCAAACAGCCCCTCACTTCTTGCCATCCCCACAGCTAATGCTCTGGTCGAATGGCCAAAGCCTGTCACCAGGATGTCCGGGATGTCTGTGAGGGCTGCAACAGCCTCCACTGGTCTCCCTGCCTCCCTGGCCAGCAGCCAGAATTGACCTTCCAAATCTATCTCCTGCCCATGGTTCCCATCATACTTAGAATGAGATCTGATTTCTTCCCAACATGATTAGGCTCCTCTACTCCCTCTCTGACCTCCTGCTGTGGGATGCCCTCCATTTGTGCATTGTGCTCAGCCAGTCTGGCCTTCCCCCCACCCCCAAACACTCCCTTCTCCGCCCTGCCTTAATAAGGCCTTTGCTCTTGCCATTCCCTCCTCAGGCATGCACTTCCGCTAGATCCTCTTAGCTCTTTTCTTCATTTAGAGAAGTGACACCCCCCCCTGCTCTCCACCTGCCCCCTCACTCTCTGTGCCCTGAAAGCTCTGAGACTATCTCGGGGTTATCTGTGCTCCTGCTTACTGCTTGTTTCCTCCTTCCTGCTTGAAGAACATCCCCTTCGCAGAGGTGCCAGCTTTGTTTTGTTCATGCTTGGCTCCCCTGTACCAACAACAATGCCCTGCACGGAGAGTGCTTAGTCAATGTCTCATGAAGTAAATGAGTTGAATGCCTCTAGAGGCCAAGTCTCTTTCCTTCTGGAATGACCTCTGGTTTGGGTTAGGGACCAGGCTCCCTCTAGCACCACACTCTTGCTTCTATCCCTGCCTGTGTGAGGGCCTGGGCCCCTTTACTGGCCTCCCATGCCACAGACTTGCGACTGAGGATGGGTGTAACAGACCTGAACTGGGAGAGGCTTGGGCTCGGCCCACCCACCTTCAGCCCCGCCCACTTCCAGACGCAGCCCCGCCCACCTCAAGTGCTCCCACCTCTTGAAGAAGCTCCGTGGGCCTCTCTGGGCCTTAGCTCCACCCACTTCAGGGGGACTGGGGATCCTTCTAGAAGAATGATCCCTTCCTTCTAGATTCTTTAATCAACCAGGTTAGAGCTTATTAAGTATGAGAGAATCTGGGGCACCTGGTTAGCTCAGGTCATGATCCCAGGGTCCTGGGATGGAACGTTGGGCTCTCTGCTCAGCAGGGAACCTGCTTCTCCCTCTCCCTCCACCTGCCACTCTGCCTACTTGTGCTCTCTCTCTGTCAAATAAATAAATAAATAAATAAATAAATAAATAAATAAATAAATAAATAAATAAAATCTTAAAAAAACAAGAAAGCAAATCTAATTAGAATCTATTAGGATTAGAATCTGTTAGAGAATGATAGGAACTCACATCTTCCAACTTTCAAAAATTACTTTTGTCGCTTAGCCCGAGATTAGCACATTATAGATCAGGGGTCAGCAAACCATGCCAAAGGCAGCCTGCATATGTCTACAATACTCCAAGGCTGTATGGCCCACAAAGCCTAATATATTTACTGTCTGGCCCTTTATGTAGAAAAAGTTTGCTGACTCTCATTACAAATACTTAAAAAATACTGTTGGATTAAGTAGGCTTAAATCAGAGCCTTGGAATCCTGCCCTGTTAACACCACCACTTCAAGTCTTTTGTCTGGGGACACCAAAATGAACCAAACACTCTAAGCTCTTCTCTCTTTAATAAGAAGGATATGGAGGTATGGAATAGGTAGTAATAGCCACTGAAGAATTCTGCATCTGTCCTTTAGTTAACAGACAGGCATTTATGGAGCACCTCCTTTATTCCAGAGGCTGTTCTAGGCATAAGCAATGAAGTGACAAAGTTCCTACATAGAGCCCCCGGTGTCTGGCTGATTATATATCACATCCTTGCTGTGCTCAACCAGTGTGGTTCCCGGCGTGAGGCTCAGCTTTCGCCTCCCACTTGCACCTCCAGCAGCAGGTGGCATCTGTGCCATTGCCCCCGTCGCCCAGGGTCCTCCCTGCCAGCTGGGCCTCCTCCTGGGGCCACGGATCACACACCGTTCTTTGACATCGATGTCCCCAGGGCTGAGCACAGGCCCCAGCACACAGCCTCAGCCTGCCTTTCTGCCACCACCAGGCTCCTTCAAGAGCCTCGACATGGTAACGGGGGATGACAACCAACCGGTCTTTTAGGAATTCCACTTAAGAGCAGTGTCTTTTGGGAATTCATCAAAGGAAATGATGAGCATTGTAAGATATTTTCCTCTCTTTAAACAGAAATCTATAAATTACATCGTGTTCCCTTCCTTTCTCTGCCTCGCTGCCTGGCTGACTTTGTGTTCCACGGGCTTTTCAATGAAACCAGGTTGATTCCAGGCTGACCCGAGAGTTGGCTTTGATGTGAGGAGTAGTTATTGAAAGAGACAGGGTGATCCGTGTAATGAAATGCCTCCTACACTTTCCATAAAAGTGATCGGAGTGTGATGCTGGCCGTTCTGCTGTGGGGGATGGGAGGGAGGCTCTAGCAGCCTCTGAGCAGCTGGGAAAGGCACCGGGGGGCTGAAGGTGGGCACGCTCCCGGGAAGAGAGCAAACCTCTCCTGGAATAAGCCTCCTGAGAGCAGAGCTTTCAACCACTTCTGCTCAGGTGGCTCTACTGTCCCAGGCGTCAAGGACCCTCAGCCCCTCTTCTGGAAATCCCTTTCTCAGGGAGCATTTTACCTTGTTAGTTTTTGCTGATTCTTGAGAAATTTTCTTTGGGACTCAAAATGCTTTTTCTGATAATATGCCTCTGGTGGATTTAAGGTCACAGCTAATACTTCAGGATTTAACCCGGATTCAATTGTGGGGAAAGAAGAAAAATCTAATGTTTTGTCTCAGTAGACAATCTGACAATGCCTGATGAGTTTCTTCATTTGGTTATTCAATAAATTTTACTGGGTGCTTATCATTGCTGGGAATAGGAGCAAGTAAACAAGATAGGGAGGATCCTTGGCCTCACAGAATTGGCAGGACTGCCAGGGAGATGTTTACTCGAATAGACAAGGAAGGACCCTACAGCATGATAAATGTGCTGTGCTCTGGGAACCCATTCAGGGGCATGGAGGACTTCCTGGAGGAGGTGATGTTTCAGCCTGAGACCTGGAAGATGAGTAGTAGTTTATCAGACAAAGAGAAGGGAAGAGTGTTGTAGGCAGAGGGAACAGCATGCTTGAAGGTTTTGGCCTCCGGGCAGGAGGAGGGGAGGGAGGCTCAGCTTTTTCCTGCCCTCTGCCGATACAGGGATCTCTAGACAGTCCTGGCCTTCGACTCTCTGGAAGTTGCAAGGACAGGACCGACCACTAGAAGGGAGAAATAAATTGCATGCACTCACGGAGGAAATATTCTGCTGTGTCAGCTTCGTAATCTGCATCCTCTGGGAAGTGATCGATTTGCTTGCAGAGACCTTTGAAGTTCCCTGGAAAACAAGAGGAGAAAGGACACTTGAAACATCAGAGTCTCTGGGGGGCTCAGCGCCCACAGGCCTCTTGCTGACTTCTCTCCCTCTTCTGAAACTGGCTCAGCCCTCTCCCTGGCCCCTGAAGGAAGGTATCACTTGGTCTGTTTGGACATCTGCCCGGTGAATCAAAACACTCACCCCCGCCGTGCTGCGGAGAGGATCTAAGGCCCAGGACTTCAAAACCCAGCCTTCCATCCCTGCGCGGAGGCTTCTGAGGATTAGCTGAAGCTTGGCGGGCAGCAGAGGTTTGGCTCGGGGCTGGGGACTGCCACCGAGCAGGCTGTCGGAGCCGGTCAGTCCTCAGCCTCCCCGCCCTGGCTGGGCTAGGAGTCACCTCGCATTTTGCATGCCAGAGAGCAGATCTCTCCCTCTGCGGAGAAGGCGGACCCGCGTGGATGCTGACAAACATTCCCACAGCCTGTAAACGAGCTTGCAGAGCGCCTTCCCATCTGCAAAGCCTGGAATTCACTGTGCCCAGGCCCCAGCTGTGCTAAAAATGCTCCGGGGTGGGGGTGGGAAGGAGGTTGAGCCCCACCCTGGGGGCTGGACCCTCTGCCAGGCTCTTGAACCTGGGCTCATCGTGGCTCTACCACAGGCCTCTCAGAGGGGTATTGTCTCCTCCACTATACAGATGAAGAAACTGAGGCTCCTCCGGGAGGCTGCATGATCTGAATAAGTACTCGGGGGCCAGGAAATGATGGAAGTGGGGCTCAAAAGAAGGCCTGTTGACTCCAAATCTTTCCTGGGGCGATGGCTGAGAAGGTGAACAGGGGCACAGGTGAAAACCCAATGTCACAGTGGCCCCCCCCCTCCCCACCGCCAACAACCACTGTGATGAGTGAATGAGCGACCTATTGAATGCGATCTTCCTTAAGGACCTGCTCGGGGTAGAGCTTGTGAGTAGGTCTGCTTGGTGACAGCAGAAGCTTTGGTCTGTTGCACACACCATGGTACCCCCGGCAGCAGCCCAACTACAGCCAGTGTCGTAGAACTTTCTCTGAATGCATGAATAACCCACCCTGTGCTGGGAGAGGGGGCAGCTCCTATAGCTGGGCTGCCTGGAGGAGGTGCCTGCTTCCTCGTCTGAAAAGTGGAGACCAGAGCTCTCCCTTTGTGCATCGTTGGGGCGATTGGATGTGCTGACGCATATAAAGTGCTCAGAGCGGTGGCTGGCTCGTTGGGAAGAGTGCTTGGAGGCATCGCTGTGAGGGAGAATTGGACACTGACTATATTCAGCCACTGACATTTGGGATTTTTCTGTGACAGTAGCTAATATAACCTAATTAATACCATCCTCAGTACGAGTTAGCAATTTATTTTCCTATAGAGTGCTGAACCTTCAGTTCCCGCAAAGTAGGTTTTCTTGTGTCCTATAGATATTTTTTTTTGTCCTATAGATATTATTTAGGAATTTTAAGGCATTCTTACGTAGACCTGTATATATCATATACACCTGCTTGTATAGGATACACAGGTGTACTTACATAAAGATAAGCGTTTTAGGCATTTCTAGCTATTATATGTTGTAGAAAAGATGGTTGACCCCCCCATTTGCTGTCTCTGCACCAAATTCACCCCCTTTCCTGCCTTCTGCAAGAAAATCAGTTCCCCAGAGCGCATTGGGGACTTAGGGTTAATGTCACTGAAGCTTTGTGGCGTCTATAGAGCACCTTGGTTCACTCAAAACACTCCCCTGGGGCAGGCTTCCCCTCTAAGTATTCTGGGCGGTCCTTCTTCTTGCTCACCCCTGCTCCCCATGTCTCAAGAATTCACCGGAGGCCTCAGTTCCCTCTAGGACTTCTCCCTTCCTCGGACCACACATCCTTCTCTCCCGAGATGTCTTTGTATCAGCTGCTAAGAGAATAAAATATCCTCCCTATTGTTCAAATGACAAATCAGTATATTCGCAGAGCACTTTGCAAAGCACTTTCATTTTCTCTCAATTCAATCTGACAAATATTTTGTCAGTGCCAACCCAGATCTTTATAAGGGGCCTGTGCAGGAGGTGAGGTGCAGATCTCACTACTGTTGTGCCCCGAGGCTCCTCACAAGTCAAGGACGGTGCTCCACCCTAGACCAGGGCTCCTGAGTGGTGCCTCTAGTCTCTCCTCTAAGGGCCCCGTGCTTCGCACTGGCAGCCCAAACCCTTGCCTGCTCCCTTTGCAGTCTGGCTGCTCCTCTGCAGGAGCTGTGCCCAGCCCTTCTTAGACCATGGGCTCCTAGTGTGGTGCCCGGCACAGAGGAAGGGCTCAAGAGATGCTACGGAGAGGCTGTGTGAAGTCACCAGCGGCCCAGACTCTCCAGGGTGAGCCAGACCTGGTATCCACCTGCCTACCTGATGTGTCCTGGCACAGGTTTCAAAGGCACTGTCCATTCAGTACAGCCAACTCTGAACTTCTAATCCTTCTCTCAAGCCTGGTCTTCTGGAGGCACCGACCAGCTCAGGGAATGCCTCTCCATCGCTGCCTGTGCCAGCCCGAGCCCACTTGTCACTGCCTACACCTCTTCCTCCTCACTGCAGGCTCCATCGCTCAGGATGCTCTCAGTATCTCTCAAAACTGTCAGTTTCTCTCCATTGGCAGCAACACCCACGGCCAGGCCACCCTCCTGGCTTCCCTGCATGGACTATAGGGGCCTCCCCACCCATCATTTTGTACCCACTCTTATCCCTCCCTACAGAGGAATCATAGTGATCCTCTGAAAATGTAAATCTGATCAAGCCACTTCTAGCTTGAAACACTCAACGCCTTCCCAGTGCTCTAGGGAAAACTCAGCATCTTCAAGAGGCCTGACCCTGATCTCTGTCTGGCCTTATTTCCTGCCCACCTCCCTTTCTGTGCACATGTCATCTCAGCTGTTCTTCATGCATGCTCCCTCCTACCACAGGACCTTTGCACATGCTGGTCTGGCTGCCTGAACCCCCACCACATCCTTTGTTATCTCCTTCCCTCAAACCTCCCTCTGCCTCCCTGCACTGTGTAGTGGGGTGTCTGCTGCCCTGCTGTCCATTCTGTGTTGGGGGGAGATGTTAAAGCATGAGCAATGCTGGTGGGAATGTTCTAGTAGAGCGGGAAGACGTGATGACCAGAGAGAGGAGGGAGCAATGCAGGAGCAATATGAGAGGGGATGAGGTCCAGGACAGAGGTGCAAGGGTGGCTTCCTATGGAGTGGATGGTGGTGTGTCTACTGTGGCAGAGGGGAGGATGCCACTTATGGGTGCAGGTGCAGGGGAGGAACAGACATAGTGGGAGCTGTGACACTTCTGGTTGTTTCTATTTTCTTGAAGAAATGGGAAGCAGGATCATTACTGGAGCATGAGGAAGGGGAGGCAGCATTGGAGATTTGAGAATGGAGGAAAGGAGTGGTATTTTTCTCCAGGAGACGAGGGGAGAGAGAATGGACCAGGCCTGAAACACGAAGCATGTGTGTCTGGGCCTTGAAGATCCCTTTGAGATTCTGTGGTTTTCTCTAGTGACATTTAGGGTGTGGCTGAGTCTGGCTGGAGGGTTGCCTGTGGAGTGGGGGTCTGTGAGATGAGGACAAGAGCAGGGGTAGGGGAGGCAGTGATTATGAAGATGGGTCAGACTCTAAGCTGAGGGAGGGGGCGAGGTGGTGGGGTCAGTGCACTGGGAGCCTAGGTTAGGGGTCAAAAGACTGTCAGGGGAGAGGGCTGATGAGGGTGAGCTGGAAGGCTGGGGCATGGTAGTCAGAAAGTGGGTGCCAAAGATTGAGATTGTTGAGGAGTGTGGTGATCAGACATGTCAGGGTCAAGACAAGACCATGAACTGGGTGGTTCAGGTTGGGTGGAGGTAGGGATGACATTCAAAGTATTTAGCGACCGGAAAGGTCATACCAATTAACATAGACGACAAAACCAAACGTTCACCTTGACTCTGCATATGTGATCAAGTACGTGTTTGGAAACTCCTTACCAAGTTATGGTTGATATGCAAAGGATTCATCACATTATTCTGCTAAGCCCTAAGTCCTCAGTTGGTTTTTAGAAACTATTGGTGTGAGGCTCTTTCAAGCTGAATGATGACCCTGTCTGGACCATGATTTGACACAGGGAACTGTTCCCGGTGCTTCCAATGCTCCTCTGTTAGAATAAGACTTGTTTCATCTCAGTGAGTACAGAATTCTCTCCTGCCTTGTCCCATGCCATTCCATGGGGGACTTCTTCCAGAAGGTAGCTCTCCATCCTGGGCCACCCAGGAGGTGGGGAGGGATGCTCCTGGGGATGGTGGGGGAGTGGGGGGTGGGGAGGAGAAGAGCAGGAGCTCTTATGGAGAAGTAGTGCTCTCGTGGGTGGTGGGCCCAGCCACTCTGGCCGAATGAAGGTTCTGTTCTTCTGAGGCCCTTGCCCATCCCCGCAGAGGCAGATGTCTGGGCTGGGCCCACGGCTTGGAGAACTGCAGGGCCTGGAGCACAGAGCTCAACCCTCCACCCATTCTTGGGGAGAGGGGAGAGGAGATGGAGCCTCAGTTCCAGCCCCTCCTGCCCTGTCTGTCCCAGTCAGGAGCCACCCCTACCCAGCCCAGACCTCTTCCTGTGCTTCATGGGGCTGATTGGTGAGCAAGATTTCAGCACTTAACAACCAGGGAGGCAGGACCAGTATGGGCTGGCTGAGCAAAGGTGGGCCAGGCCAGGTACCGGGGAGGCCTGTCTGCCTGATTTTGAAATCCATGAGGGCTGCAGGGTGGCCTCAGAGAACGAGGTAGGCCAATGCTTGACTCCTCAAAGAATGAGGGGGAGGCCCATGTTGGGAATGGGAGGAATGAGTCGGGGAAGAGAAGGCTGGGTGAGTTTCAGAGAGGCAGGGCTTTAGGGAGGAGGCAGTGAGGAGCAGGGAGGGTCTTAGCACCTAGGGGGTGTGGGCCATACAACATCCCCTGTGAAGGATCGCAAGGGGGTGGTGTCCTCAAGGGACAGCGCAGTTTCTATAAAAGTGAGCTGAA